CGATTGGTGTTATACTGTCTCTAGACTAAAGATAGTACATCGTGGTTCGCATTTGCAAAATATAAGTTATCTATAAAATAGATATTATGTATATTAAATATATATTAGAAACCTATAGAAAAAATGTGTTGCAACCGATGTGTCCACGACTGTACATAAAAAAAGATTGTATAAATTAGATAATTGTGATTAGTAATTGCAATTAGGAATGAAGGGTCTCATCCAGTGATATCTGTGAAAGTTCACTTCCGGCGTATTTTTAACCGGCGTGTTTTTAACGAGAGACATAATTTGAATCGCCTTTGTTGCTAACTCGGTTGCATTTCCGGATTGCAGGCGCTGACCGTGGGCGACAAAGGTTGCGAGGCGTTGCTGCAGGCCCACCTTCGTCTGGAGGGCACCGGCGCGGCGAGCGGCGTGGCCGGCGTGGTGGAGGCACCTGGAGGTCGGCGCTATCTCCTCTTGGAGGGCCATCACGGTGACCTGCACGCCTACGTAAGGGCACGCAGGAGACTGCGCGAGCCCGAGGCGAGGCGGCTCTTCCGGCAGGCGGCCAGGGCCGTGGCGACGTGTCACGAGTACGGCGTCGTGCTGAGGGACCTCAAGCTCCGGAAGTTTGTCTTCGCCGACGAAGCGAGGTGATAATCCAAGTCCAGTATTTAGCTTTTTTTTTTCAAAGTGACTTCGACAAAAACTTCGGTTTATTTTAATCAATGATTATCATCAAGTAGTAATAATAAATAATAAAAATGGTAAAACTTTAATTTTTTTTTTTAAAGTATGATTATTTTTTTGTTATTTGACACAAAAGAAAATTTAGATCGTGGAAGATCTAATATGTATAATTCTATAATTGTATATATTTGTATAAATTATTAGAAATCTTATAGACAATTGTGCCAGTTTAAATTAATCACCGATTATATTAATTGGAGTGTGTCGAAGCCGCTCTCAGAATCGAGTTTTCGATTTATCAAGCCGTTAGAGACGACGATGATTTTAGGTTTCTGTCATAAATTAGAATTAAATTTAACTGTTTTATTTTATTTCCAAAAATATTGAATTATGAAGGATACGAACTTTTTTCGAATTATCAGTTTTTTATTATTTAAATTGCATACTCGATAAATTGATTCTCGATAAAATAAGCCAAAGCATCTTTCCGGCGACAATTCATTGAGAGTTGATAAGCGACACACATCCGGATCGGAGCGAAGGTATCGATAGCGCCAGGGGTTCGCGTTCGCTTTTTCCGAGTGAAGGGGAAATCGATTGCTGTGTATGTTTTTATCGTGTAAGTGACCTCTCTGTTCCCGGCGTTGGAAAGAAATACGACTGAACATGGAAATGAATTAAATGTTAAATTCGTCGCAGATCTCATGGCATTGTCGCTCTCGCTCGAAGAAGAGAGAGAGCGCGTTTCGCTGAACTACATCATAGGCGTATTGCATCAAGTTGCGCGCATTTGGCCGATATTTTCACCTAAAAGCTCATTTAAAATAAACTCGTTCAAGAACACTCACGATTCTGTACCTCTATAGTCGAATAGATGAGAAAGGAATATTATTGGTTATGATTGATATCGATCATTATCATCAAACATACTGTTACTCAAATCATACAAACATTATGTCTAATTTATGATCTCAGGAGCCAGTATTTTCTCATATAGACAGTGACAAGCGGTACGAAGCGATCTTATTTGCGAAAAGAAAAATGTGATGCTAAAATTCAAATTTGCATAAAGTTAAGTTTGACTCAAATTGAACACAAATTCGCGTGAAGTCAAATTTTTTATCAAAACAGGTACATCACAACCGCGATCACGGGCAAACCCTTATGTTGCAAATCCTTACATGTTGCGAACAACGTGGTTGGTCTCGTTATATCCCCGGAGGGGATTTCATTAGATCGCGTCGAGTCGTGATTTAGGGTGTGTTTGCGAGGCTCATTCGTTTGTGGCGTTATCTGTTCGCGATACGACGCACCCACGTGCCGCTGCGGAAGGCAGGCAGACAGGCAGGCAGGCAGGCAGGCAAGCATGCATAGGGTATACAGGCAAACGGCTGGCCGAGTCAAGCTGAACCAACCGAGCCAACGGGCGTGTGTTGTGTGTCGTGCACGGTGTGTACACGCCGGCGATCGGGAGATCGACTCGTATGTCGGTCCGTTGTTGGCCAATCGCATTCCTACCGAGCGGCGAGCTGCTGCTCCCGCGCGCGCGCGTACGTAAGAATAAGGAGAGTCCGGGGAATGTTGCAAGCCAGAAAAGCATATTGGTTCATCGGCTGCTGCGGCGGGGTTTTGAAACGTCGGTATAATTAGGAAACGCGTGGCTCTCTCGGCTCGTTCCACCGACGCGGCGCGGCGCGACGCGATGCGACCGACATCCGAGACGGCGCATCACGGTATTCTTGCCTCCCTTTCTCCGAAAGGGACGAGTTTCGCGTCTTCCTCGAGCTATCGAGTGTAATCCCTTCAAGATGCGATAATGTGCAGAAACTCGATATCTAACGAAGAATTGATAATGAATTTTCGAATGAGGATCCGAAAACTTTCATCGGTATTCTTATAACCAGTGTGGGTTGATCCTATATAAAAGTCTTCCTCAAATTCTACGATCTTGAGAGAAATTACTCACAATCACTGCGGCTGCGAACGTCATTCTCCCTTTCTGAAAGTTTGCCAAGATCTCCGCGAGCGCGCGTTCCGTTTCGCGAGTCTCTCCCGCGTGGGTTTCTCTTTACCTCGATCGGCCGACAATGGGCGGATTAAGGCGATCAAATCAGTCTTTTCCCGGATGCACCTTCGCGTATGGAGTTCGACCTATGGTAATTGCTAAATGCGTCACGTGCGCGTCCCGGCAGAAACTCGCGCCATCGTTATCAGCGTCATCGTAATCGTCATCGTCGTCGTCGTCGTCGTCGATGTTGGGCAGTAGCGTTAGCTCTTGGTGAAAAGCTGCACACGATGCGATCTCGTGGCCGGATTTCTCTCCACGCCACGCACCGCGTTTCGCAACGGCACCGTGCACTGGTCCAGTTCAATTCGGCGCCGAATTCAATCGGCCGGGGATCGTCATTCGTGAGGTTAATGATCCCGGCGAATAAAATCGTCGGTCTCGTTTTGATTCCTTTTTACGCCCGAGACACTCTCTATTCTTAAAACCGTGAATCCGGGACGTTGACCCATGAATCTGTATTCGGGCGTTTTCGCGCGCGCACAACCGTGTAATTTATTTATTTAGCTACTTACTCAAAATTGCCGGTTTTCGCAATGGTAAACTGTATATATTTTAAATCTTTAATTCGATAATATTAGTAAATTATAGGATGGCCATTTTAAATAAATATGAAACAATTTCGAGATGACCTAAGTTCGAGATGAATGATAGTTCTTCCAAGTATCCGCGTAAATTTGTATCTTATGCATAGCCGTTTAATTCCGGATTTTCCTTGTGCAACATACACGAAGATTAATATAATTGTGAGACGAAAATAATCTCGAGATGATGCACCTTGCCATTGGAAACAATTATTCGCCGCGTCTGCGTGCGTAGTTAATTGATTAACGACGCTTGATTAATGATTTCCGTGGCATCAGCGGGATCTTCTTCCGAGACTTAAGTTTCGCAATTGTAACACGACGAAGAAACGCGAGAGTTTGCTCGCGTTTGGAGCCCAGAAGGAGGAATTTCGGTGCCTCGAAAGTTTCGGTCAACGTTTCGGTCCCTTGACGTTTGTAAAATTTCACGAGCTCTCTGGTCTGAAGAAATCACATCGCGCCTAGTATCCGCCGCGCCGAGCGGTTCTTGAACCCGGAGCGATATCGTGCTGCGCGACCGGCGAACGGGTGAAAGTTTGCGAAGAAAGCTGTGCGATGCCCCTCTCTCTATCTCTCTTCGCTACATCTATCTCTCTTTATCCGCGACGGCCGCGTTTGGTTCATCACGAATGGCCTAGCGTGCCATCGCGTTCGTTCGATTCATTTGCTCGTGAGAGAGAAGAGGCCATTGACACTCGTTCGGATTGTCAAGATCGTGTAACGACTCTCTCGCGTGACGCGTGCGTTCACCGAAGGCGCGCGCTTCCGTCTCTCTCGGCTCTTCCGAAATACGCGCCGACGATGAGTCTGAATTGCTGAATGACTTTCTTGAAAAATGATTCCTTCGAAATACCACGCATTTTTGGGAATATAATATGGATGATTACATTGTGTAACTTGTCGAAATCTTATTATTGTATAAATATCATTAATTAAAAATAGACGTCTCTCTTGTTTCCTCAATTTATTTATATTTGTAATAAGAAATGTTTAAAGATATATTCACGAAATAACAGTGCTGTATTAATAGTGAAGTATGACGGAATTAATGCGAAAGTTCTTACTAATGAAAACTCGATTTTTTCAAGAAATGCAATTTTGATTTATATAAACTAGATTTATCTCTCTTGATTTGATCTTTCTAACTATACATTGTTTTTGCTAAGTAACAGTGCAACTTTTACACGAATTTTAAAATATTGGGATACCATCAACTAACAATTTTCAAGTTATATTTTCGAAGCAGGGCTAAAATCTCTCTATTGTAAATGACACAAAGGAACGACAAGTACAGGAATGTACTTCTGTAGGAGGATATGATCTGGAATACGTGGCGCTTTCCCGAGCGCGCTGCCCCTTCTCGACCGAATATCGTGGGCGATAATACGAGAACTCGCGTCGAAGGAGAGCTCAGAAGTTACCCAAGAGCCAAGAATATTACGTACACACGCGACTTCCGCGTTGCAGGTTGATCAACGCAGCAGCGACCGACCGGCCAGCAGCGTGCAGCGCAACGCGCTCTCCTCTCTTTCTCTCACTCTCTCTTCTTCCTCGTGTCTTCGTCGTCGCGCCTTATTCCGCGCTGCCAACGACGACGATGACGACGGCTGAGAACGATGGCTCAATCGCGGTGTCTCCTCTTGCTAAATTGAAATACCTTGCCTTCGGGCGCGCGCGCGCGCGCGCTTAAAGTACACGCGCGAGGCGAAACCCGAGAGAGGAGATCTCTCCCGACCGCATTAAAAAGATTGCACGGCTCCTTGGCTCCTAGTTCGCGAACTCTCGCGCGCAGCGACTAGATCATAACCGGTCGATAATAAATGCAGGGCTTGGCGTAACGCGTGTGTCTAAGACACGCAGAGAGCGAATTTCACACGACGCCGAAGGGAAAAAAGAACTGTAAATCTTTTGCAACCATTTAATGTTGCACTATCCCGTGGCTCCTTCGAGAGAAAGATCGAGCACTTTAATCTTATCGGTATCTAGGTAGACCGTTCGTCCTGGTAGACCTATACGCCCACTGACTATTGAATGACTTTTTTTTTACATCTTAAAAGCTAAATAAATTAAAATTAGAGAGACAGACATATCGGGATATACAATTCGGTTATCTCCGAGACAATGGTAGATTGCGAGAAATCGATTAGGTACTGCAACTTCTCGACGAATATTTTTCTAATTGGGCATTTCTTTTTTCCAGAACGCGGCTTCGTCTGGAGAGCCTTGAGGACGCGGTGATCGTGGAGAACGACGACGACAAGCTGACCGACCGACGCGGCTGTCCGGCGTATGTCGCGCCGGAAGTGCTGCGCTCCGGACGCGCCTATTCCGGCAAGGCGGCGGACATCTGGTCGCTGGGCGTGCTGCTGTACACGATGCTGGTGGGCCGTTACCCGTTCAACGACGCCGAGCACGCGTCCCTCTTCGCCAAGATCTCGCGCGGCCTGTTCGCCGTGCCGGAGGGCCTGAGCCCGCGCGCCAAGTGCCTGATCCGCTCGCTGCTGCGAAAGGAGCCGTCCGAGCGGCCGTACGCCGAGGACGTGTCGCTGCACCCGTGGCTGTCGAAGCCGCTGCGGTTACACACGCCCACGTCCGGCAGCAGGTCCTCGTGCCAGGACCAAGTCGTACCAGAGCTATCTATTAATCCTCAACAAGACTGACTCTCTCTCTTTCGGGGGAAGGATCATTATTCCGCGCGTGACGGCATCACACTCTCTCATCCTAGTGCTTCTCTCGCGCCGACAGCCGAACCGAGTCCTCCGGCCGGGAGGGGGGAGTTAGCGCAATCAAAAGAAGAAAGGAGGCAGAACGATTTTCTTTTAACACATTGGCTGTGCCCGTAGAGAGTAGCGGATGAGCTCGGCGAAAAGCGAAAATGTCTTACGTATATATCATAGAATTTAAAAAAAGACATGCGAAAGGTCGAATAAAATTATTCATTATCAAACGAGCAATATCCAGTGAAAAATTCTATCTTCCAAAAGATTCAAATTGAGAAATATATGTATATCCTGACAGTCAATGTGTTAATGGCAGCTGAATATACACAGCTTCGCTCACACAAGTTTGAGCGCGGTCTCCAAGCGTGGATAAAAAAATCGAATCCTCGCTGAGACGCGTAATATACGACTACAAATGCTGCGTCCTCCTCTTTTCGCCGGTCCAGGGACGGCCTAGAAATAAGCTTCGAAGATAGAGCGTATTAACATGAGGCAAGAGTAATTGTTCTCGATGGAACTTTTATGTAGGGGAGAGTAACCAAAGTCTCCATTCTGAATAACAATGCCCTTTGGATTATTTTCCTCGTTTAAAGCTGTAGCCTGCGAGTTAACTGATCGAAGTTGGAACCCTTGAAATAAGATGATATTACGTCTCTCATTATGTAAAGATAAGCTCACTCTAGTCTAGAGACACAACTTCGCAGGTCGAAGCGTCGAACAGCGAAAGTAATTGAGGGGTATCCTCTGTAAAATAGCGTCTCGATTTTGGTCATTCTCCGCTGGCAATTTCGGAGGCAACGTGACGCAAGTGATTAGTCTCTAAAAAAAAAAAAAAGGGAAAAGTCTCTATCGGCTATAATAGAATCCTAGATTCGAGGAAACATTGCCATTACCGGTCCAAGAAATATTTCGCCTTGCCGCGTAACAGATACATTCGCGCGCGCGCGCGAGCGCGTGCACACGCGCGAATTCCCTTGTGATAGAATCTGATCCAGATTCTGTGCGACATATGTGATAACGAAATATATACAGGTTGTTTCATAAGCGTTAATGCGGTTACTTGCGGTCATCTGTCTCTGAAGTCCATGTACATTAATTATTGTAAAACGATCGAATTCGATGTTTGTATTTTGCGAGTTAGACACACAACACACCCGAGTACACACACATCCTCGACTTTTCTTCGATACTTCGCGTTGTGCATCAACCCGGGATGACTTTTTTTCCCGCTTGTATACCGGCGAATCCGCTGTACACACATACACACACACACACGCATACACGCAAGAGTTAAAACAGTTATGTAAATACGAGCAAGGGACGTGGAACCTAATGTAAGTTCGAGTACAACCGGTGAGCTTCGTATAGTGTAGTATATAGTATGTAAAGCGCGATGAAATATTATATGAATGGGAATCCAGAGATTGAGTCGGATTCGAAGCTGGAAGACTCACGCAGTCGAAAGAGAAAATACAATGATTCAGCGCGAGAGAATGATTATTTCGCCTAATGACGACCAAGCGTTACTGGAGCAGGTCGGACGAATTTTAAACGAAATAAGTTTCCAATCTAAAATCCGACTCATTCTCCCCGTTTATCTGTCATCATTATATATCACGGAGTCAATCAAATATACCAGGCGGCCCATCGAGGGAAGGGATATTTTCTCGTTTGTTTATGCGATAAAAACTTCATTCTCCGACCTAAAAACATTGCCTTAGAAAAGTTCAAGACTGCTTGGACGTGTGGCCTATATTAATTAACTTTTATTAGAGAAAACACGCAAAATACACAACGTTGAACGGTGAATTTCTAACCTTAAGAACAATAAAAGAATACGCTTCTGGATTAACTCGCACCGAGAGTATCCATGAATATATATATAAATGTGTTCATCGATGGCAATGTTTTCAGGTAGAAGTAAACTCTCTAGCGAATCAAAGACAAGATTTTTTTACTCTCTTCTGACTCAGAACCTCTTAAAAAGTCATGCGCGATACGTGTGTACAGCTCACCAGGTTCCGATTTTAAAAAAAGCGAACGAACGACGATTTTTTTTCTATCAATTTGGGCACATGAGGCTGCGCGTCCCATTTTGAGGATTTTTCTCTCGAGTAAGATTCTCCGAGCGTTGTAAAAAAAAAACGACAAACTTGATTCTCGACTATTTTTTTCAGTAGAGACTTGTCATTGCAAGTCAATTATGAGAATAAAATTCCAAGACAGACATTGAGATTCTCATTTGCATCAATGCCAGATGGCGTGATATCTTCACGAAGTTATTACATTTTCCCTCTTCGTATCATGGTGGATTTAATCGTGTTCCACGTCAGTATCGACGTTAAATAAAGAAATACCGATGCCGCAGTCGTCGGTGGACGTGCCCAAAATAAACACTCCCGAAATGTTTTTCGGGAGTCAAGACTAAGTTTAAAACTAAGCAATCGAAATTAAATCCACCATCTCACACAGACCAGATTAAATCCGAAATAGTTTTTCGATCCCTTTTAGACGACGAAACTCTTTCGAGGGAAAATGGGGGGGAAACCAGGTTTACAAATATTCTCAAATAATTTCAGAGTCGAAATTCGATTTCGATGAAGTTCCAGTTAGTTTAGATGCATTCTTGAAAATTCTCATTTAATTCGAGTGGAAATTTCATCTATGACAAACGGTCGCCGAAACGCTAGTTTCGAGGAACATTGCACTAGACATGAGAATCGGGATAGTTGATGCAAAGTTCAGCCTCATGTGAAGCTCGAATCGAATCCGCGTCGGACGACGACGACGACGGCGAGGACGTTTCTCGTGGCTCGTAGAAGAACCTTTGATTTCGGCACCGGGGATTGGCGAAATGGCAAGCTCAGGGACACGAGACGGGGGTTTGTCGGGGCTGCGACCCGACCCGATCCTCGCCTCGGTCCCTCGTGTTCGACGAAAGTACCATGTGTTCTTGTATTTACAGATACCTGTCTACCTACCTATCTACGCGAACTCTTTTGTAACTTCCGCGAGAGTGAAGAGAGAAAGAGCGAGAGAGAGAGAGAGAGAGAGACTCCTCTTTTCCTTTTTATTTATAATATTCGCGCGCCGCGAACGGGGAGTACGGTACCCCGGGTGCGGCACTAAGATTCCTCCTCGTATCGTTCTCAGTCAGGGTACAAAACGCCGCGCGCATCCATCGACGTTTTAATTTGTACATAAGTTCGACGCGATTAAATCCTATTGTATTCAATCATTGTCTAGGTGCGTTTAAGGGAATTTCGTTTCTGTACATAGGTAAAATAAAGTGGCGTTTACGACGAAGAGCCGTCCGTCTTTCTTTAGCTTTATGCATCTCTCTGACGTACGGTAGGGCATGAACGTCTCAGTTCCTGTTTAAAGAAAAAAATCGTATCTCTGGTAAACATTGAGTCATAAAGACCAAACAGAGCTTATTCTAAAGTGGATTGTTGATATTTCAACTTGAAAATATTATGATTAACGCTATTACAAAACTGAAAAAATTATTGACGTAAAATCAAATCTTTAACTGGAGAGATCAGATTTGAATTAAAACATTACGGCGAAAATCTGATCTCTCCAGTTAAAGATTTGATTTTACGTCAATAATTTTTTCAGTTTTGCAATAGTGTTAGTCATAATATTTTCAAGTTGAAATTTCGGTAATCCTCTTTAAAATAAGCTCTGTTCATCTTTGGATGGCAACAATTGCGAGAACGGGGTGTAGCAATTTCAAGTTTTTTTTAAATCGGATTACACAAGTGCGAATTCGTTAATTACGTAATTTTTCGTCGATCTGACGTCATAACTCGTAAAAGTAACGCAGACCTTTGACGCAACGGAAAATCAGTGGCGGCTTAAGATATCAGTATTTGCCCCGTTGGCAATCGATTTAATTCCATTGGATGCAAAAAAAGAATTACAAAAGAAAAAGGAAAATAAGAGAAGATTAATTCTCTATTTTTTGCTTAAAAAATAACCGTGGAAAACATTCGTAATTAAATTTCGATTTATAAATATTTTATTACAAAAAAAAACGGTTCAACTCTGAAATCACGATAGGTTCAATATTTGTGATATAACGTGTATCTTTATTAAATACGGAAAAATCCACAACGGCGTGTCGTAAACTGACGTAAACAAACAAAATGAGATTAAAAAAATATGGGCATTTAAATTCCCTGAGTCACGTGGCGTGACGGCAGACCGTTGGGC